ATACCCAATACAACCATGTAAATGCTAGTGGGGTTAAGGGAGGATTGATTTTGTAATTTGGGAGTTGTAGTTGCTGGGATTTATAGTTCACCTACAATCAAAGAGCATTCTGAACTCCACCAATGGTGGAAATGAACCAAACTTGGCACACAAAACTTCCACGAGTAACAGAAAATACTGGAAGTATATGGTGGGCATTGGCCTTGAATTTTGGAGTTGTAGTTCACCTACATCCAGAGATCATTGTGGACTCAAACAATGATGGCTCTGGACCAAACTTGGCACGAATACTCAATATGTCCAAATGTGAACACTGGTAGAGTTTAGAGAAAATAGACCTTGACACTTGGGAGTTGTAGTTGTTGGGATGTATAGTTCACCTATAATCAAAGAGCATTCTGAAACCCATCAACGATAGAATGGCAAAACTTCCCACACAGAACCTTCATGACTAACAGAAGATACTGTGTTTTCTGATGGTCTTTGGTGACCCCTCTGACAACCCCTCATGACCCCCCAGGGGTCCTGATCCCCAGGTTGAGAAACACTGGTTTAGGGCTTCAAAGGCTAAAGCACTTTGAATTGTGCCCAATAGCAAACTGGCCGCCAGTGGAGTTGGCACAACAGAGGAGTCGTGTGTTCCCTGAGCGTTGCTCCTGTTAGTAACCTGGCTGCCGCCCGTTGGACCATTTGAAGCTTCCGAACAGTCTTCAAAGGCAGCCCCACGTAGAGTGTGTTGCAGTAGTCTATACAGGATGTAACCAGAGCGTGTACTGTACCCGATATGAGATATTCATATTGGGTACAACATTTCCCAAGCAAAAGGCGACATCAGCTCAGATTCCCTGTAAAAACTGTAGAGCCTGCTTCCAAATTCTGTAAGACTGATAGTTCCTAAAGTAACTTCATCTGCTGCTGTTGATCTCCCTTTTGGATCTGGTTGGCAGCTTTGCCAACCATATCCGAAGGGAAGTGGAGAGATGACCATGATAATCCTCTCCGAAATATCTGAGAAGTGCTTTTGTGACATATTGCAAGCAAAGCAAATTGCAAGCGGAAGCCAAGCATAGCAGATGGGTTCAGGATGACGGACTTTGCCAAGGTGACTCTGGGAGTGGGTCAGTGGCTGTGAAGGGATGCCAAAACTACCCACCAAAAAAAGCCAATGGGATTTTGGCCTGCATCAATAGGAGCATAGTGTCTAGGTCCAGGGAAGTAATGCTACCCCTCTATTCCGCTTTGGTTAGACCACACCTGGAATATTGTGTCCAATTCTGGGCACCACAATTCAAGAGAGATATTGACAAGCTGGAATGTGTCCAGAGGAGGGCGACTAAAATGATAAGGGTCTGGAGAACAAGCCCTATGAGGAGCGGCTTAAGGAGCTGGGCATGTTTAGCCTGAAGAAGAGAAGGCTGAGAGGAGATATGATAGCCATGTATAAATATGTGAGAGGAATCCACAGGGAGGAGGGAGCAAGCTTGTTTTCTGCTTCCTTGGAGACTAGGGCAAGGAACAATGGCTTCAAACTACAAGAGAGGAGATTCCATCTGAACATGTGGAAGAACTTCCTGACTGGGAGAGCCGTTCAGCAGTGGAACTCTCTGCCCCGGAGTGTGGTGGAGGCTCCTTCTTTGGAAGCTTTTAAACAGAGGCTGGATGGCCATCTGTCAGGGGTGATTTGAATGCAATGTTCCTGCTTTTTGGCAGAATGGGGTTGGACTGGATGGCCCATGAGGTCTCTTCCAACTCTTTGATTCTATGAAAGGAAAATTGAATTATAAAAGTTCTAGACCTGGAACAAATTGACATGTAGATTAAAATGATGACATCAAAACTTCAGGAATTTATGAAGCTTTGCAGAGTTTGGAGACAACTTCAGCACCCTTTTGGGAGTGTGGGTGGGATTGTGCTCTGGCCCATGTGCAGATATTGCTCATTCTTGACTTACTGGTTCTTGACCCATTATATCTCAAGGCTGCCTTCACAAACATTTGCTGTGTTTGTGTTGCACCAGAAGAATAAACAAAACTAGCCTTCCAAGTCTCTCGAAATTTCCGGCGGTCTTCGGGAGTCTGTCAATGTGTAACTTTTGCACTGCTTGTAAACAAGGGCTGTGTTTAGCTTTTTATTAAAAAACGTGCCCATCGATCTCTGTCAAAGTCCATCAGCTAGCAAAGCCAGATAGGCAGTGTGTCTTCTCGTAACCTTAAGAAAGGAAAAAGTTGGCTTTTTATGTTTTGCTGATGTGCCCAGAGATTTTTTCGTGGGTCATCACGGATGAGGGATTTTGGAGTGAATTCACCATTCCCTCCTGGAACACTTGCAAATCATTAATCTTGCTGTTTTGATCCCATTTTGGTCCAAAGTGGCTTGACTGTTTCTTTTATAAACACAAGGAAACTGGAGTCATGTCTACGTGGAGTTTGCCTTGGGGTTGCCAGGTCTTGCAGTGCAACATGGATGCTCCTTTTTTGGTCAGAGGTTTTCATAGTCAGCTCTGGGTGAGAGATGGGTTTTGAGTTCAGAATTGTCCCAGATTTGAGGTGACTTGGACCAAACCCTGAGAGCAAGAGATGGCCAATGATGATATCATCAGGAACTGACCACAGTTGCTTAAAGGTTGTCATTCTAGCATGCACACATAGACATACAGGGATGGATGGATGGATGGATGGATGGATGGATGGATGGATGGATGGATAGATAGATAGATAGATAGATAGATAGATAGATAGATAGATAGATAGATAGATAGATAGATATTTGCTATTTGGAAATCAAGAAATCTTAAGAGGTTGTTCCCCAATCAAAGTGAAATGAGTGGATTCTTCCCTATCACTTAGGAAGGAGGGAATTGGACATTTATTCTTGCCTCCTTGCTTCTACCTAGAAGATGGATGTAGAGCAGAGGATTGCTGTTGTTGTTGTTGTTGTTTCTTGTTGTTGTTCAAAACTTGACCTCTGAACTAGGTTAATCACAGTGTTCAGAGCAGAGGCTTTGCATACCTGGGTCCTCGTAGTGTTGTTACTGTTGTTGTTGTTGTTGATGTTGTTTAGATGCTTACTTTGCTTACTTACTTAGGCGATCCCTTATTGTCCGAGTAAGATTGTCCTCCAAGTTCAGTGTCCTGGTGGTGGATATGTAGGTGGCTATGGAGCCCTATTCTTGACCGACACGTTCTCCTGCAGTGAGGGCATCGGTTTCCAGGTGGAAGGCAGTCTCAGTCAGGGTTGGCTAGACGTGCCTTCCTCTTGGCACATTTCTCTCTTTCACCCTCCATTCATGCCTTTTCAAATTCTACAGCACTGCTGGTCACATCTGACCTCCAACTGGAGTGCTCAAGGGCCAGGGCTTCCCAGTTCTCAGTGTCTATGCCAGAGATTTTAAGGTTGGCTTTGAGCCCATCTTTAAATCTCTTTTCCTGTCCACCAACATTCTGTTTTCCATTCTTGAGTTCGGAATAGAGCAACTGCTTTGGGAGATGGTAATTGGGCATTTGGACAATGTGGCCGGTCCAGCAAAGTTGATGGCGGAGGACCATCACCTCAAAGCTGCTGGTCTTTGCTTCTTCCAGCATGCTGACATTTGTCCACCTGCCTTCTCAAGAGATTTGCAGGGGTTTTTCCAGAGGCAGCACTGATGAATAATTCCAGGAGTTGCATGTTACGTCTGTAGATAGTCCACATCTCGCAGGCATATAGGAGGATTGGAAGAATAGTGGCTTTATAAACAAGCACCTTGGTATCCTTACGGATGTCCCGGTCCTCAAACACTCTGTGCTTCGTTTAGAAAAATTTTGCACTTGCAGAGCTCAGGCAGTGTTGTATTTCAGTCTCACTGTTGACTTTTGTGGAGAGGGGGCTGCCAAGGGAGTGGAAATGGTCAACATTTTCTAATGTTACAGTAACTGATGATCAAACGACTTCTACGACACCGAATTGCCTTGGAGGACCTAGCAAATGTCTGGAGAGGACAACTCTGTAGGCACTACTGGGTTCTCCAATGTCATCCAAAACATCCATCCAAAACTTGCCATGGAATCTTAGATTCAGAAAATGCCCAAATGTGACCTATTTTGTCAGACCTGGATAAATGGAACTAGGGCTATTTGTCCTGCGAATATGGGGGGGGGGGGGTGTCATGTCAGGAGTGACTTGAGAAACTGCAAGTCGCTTCTGGTGAGAGAATTGGCCATCTGCAAGGACATTGCCCAGGGGACGTCCGGATGAATTGATATTTTTATCATCCTTGTGGGAGGCTTCTCTCATGTCCCCGCATGAGGAGCTGGAGCTGATAAAGGGAGCTCATCCAACTCTCCCCAGATTCAAACCTGCGACCTGTCAGTCTTTAGTCCTGCCGGCACAGGGGTTTAACCCACTGCGCCTCTGGGGGCTCTAATATGAGGTCATATTATAGATTTTAGGGAAAGTCTTTGAATTTGTAGGAAGCTGCTGTTGTCTTACATGAGCCGAAGAGTCAGACACTTACTCATATCTACAGTAAAGGGCTTAGCAAATACCTAGAAAGGTGTTTTTTCTAGGAAACTCTAGATGTCTAGTGTAATTTTGTGATATGTTTTCATTAGAAGTCATTTATTTCAATAGCGGTAAGTCTTGGAATGTATCTGACAGAGGCTGGATGGCCATCTGTCAGGGGTGATTTGAATGCAATATTCCTGCTTCTTGGCAGGGGGTTGGACTGGATGGCCCATGAGGTCTCTTCCAACTCTATGATTCTATGAATATTAAAATGGACTTACACTGCTCAGATTGTTAAAAGCATGTACACCATTGGACCTATCTAGGTCCTGCTTGCATTCTTCATGTCAAAGGCTAAAGAGGGAATATATGTCTATGGTTTGTGTGTTTACTCCTGCACATCGAATGTTAAAAGATGGCAATACAAATGTATGCTGCTCTGTCTTTATGATATTCGGGAGCACTTTCTGAATGGGTCCAGATAATAACCCCAGGCTTCTCCCTCTCTCTTTCTCTAGGCACTGGGTCTAGCATCCTCTCTGCTCTTCAGGATCTGTCCTGGCTGTCCAAGTCCAAGGTCGAGAAGCAACTGCAGGTGATCTCGGTGCTGCAATGGGTGCTGTCCTTCCTCGTCATGGGTAAGGAAGACAGTTGGGGCTCTCTGTAGTAGTTAGAACTGGTTTAAGGTGTCTCCACATTTGCCATTGAGGGGCTGCCCATGTAAACTTAGTACTGTTTGGACTTTGCCCTTCCAGTGCTATTATGTGCATCTCTTTTCAGCAAAGTAAATAGTGTTGTTGTAGGTTTTTTTTTTTCGGGCTATATGGACATGTTCTAGAGGCATTCTCTCCTGACGTATCACCTGCATCTATGGCAAGCATCCTCAGAGGTTGTGAGGTCTCACAACCTCCGGGGCAGAGAGTTCCACTGCTGAACGGCTTTCACAGTCAGGAAGTTCTTCCTCATGTTCAGGTGGAATCTCCTTTCCTGTAGTTTGAAGCCATTGTTCCGCATCCTTGTCTCCAGGGCAGCAGAATACAAGCCCCCTCCTCCCTATGACTTCCTCTCACATACTTATACAGGGGGAGGATGGGATTTGCATACTTTCAATTGCTTCGGCTCCCACAGACCACTGTGATGCCCCCATGAATGATGAGCCTGGCAGTTTGGTGAGGGGCCCAAACACGGATGATGGGATTTGCAGGATCTTCATCCAATATACCTCCCACACACCACTGTGAAACCCACAAATGACAAAACTGAACCAGACTTGGCACACAGAACTCTCCATGACCCACTTTACGTCCTGGTGTGATTTGGAGGAGGCAGGACCATGGATGATGGAACTTACAGTACCTTCACTCTCTTCCAGAGACCACTGTGACCCACACCAAGACCAAACATGGCACACAGAGTCCCCATGCTCCACCCTACATCCTGGTATGGGCTGTGGGATGATGGACCATGGACAATGGGACTTTCAGTACCTTCACTCACTTCCTGAGACCACTGCAACTCACACCAACGACTGATCAAGATCAAACTTGGCACACAAGTCCCCCATGACCCATTCTACATCCTGGTATGGTTTGAAAGAGGATGGACCATGAGATTTACATATGAGAGTTGTAGTTCACCTGCACCCACTGAAACCAGTTGACATTGGATCTAGAGTAAGTTTGGAGCACAGACAAACAATGCCTTTCTCAAATAACTTAGGCATCGCCAGGTCCCCAAGCTAGTATATAATATAAAAAGTTAGCGGGATTTACATATGGGGGTTGTAGTTCACCCGCACCCACTGAACCCAGTCGACATTGGATCTAGACTAAACTTGGAGTACAGACAAACAATGCCTTTCTCAAATAACCCAGTCACTGCCAGGTCCCCAAGCTAGTATATAATATAAAAGGTTAGCTAATAGGGCTATGAAATTCTGGGAGTTACAATTTGGTGAGGCACCAAATTTTTGACAGAGAAGGCTAACCACCTTGCGAAACTACAACTCCCATGATCCCATAGCATTGAACCATGGCGGTTCAAGTGGTGTCAAACTGCATTAATTATACCATAAAGGATCCAATGTTCAAACCATTACATAACCCCTAAATTACCAGTGCTAAAGTTTAGGAAGAGGTACTGGTTGCCAGAATCCCTTCAGGTCCAAAAACTTGGCACACAGAACTCCCATGACAAACATCTTGATGTGCATAACCAAGAAGCTAGCCATGCTCATCTAATTGTGCAAAGAGTGCTCCTTCCTGCAAAAAGTTTTGAAAAATCCTCTGTATTGATTAACGACCTCCCTTCTGCCTCCGGGAGGCACGTCCTTGGAGCCAGTGGGTGAAACACTTGAGCTCCTTTTCAATTGGATTAGAAACTGCCTCGTAAGCAGGTAGCGCTAGATAGATAAATAGCGGGATGTTTTTGCAAATGCCAGGAGGGCAAACATGGTTGTTGCTGACCTAGTATGACAACCTGAGGACACCCAGCGGTGTGCTTATCTGTAGTTGGGAGTTTCCTTTTCTGGAAGCTTTCAAACAGAGGCTGGATGTGGCCATCTGCCAGGAGGGCTTTGATGGTGCCTTCCTTCATGACAGAATGGGGTTGGACGGCATGGCCCTTGGGATCCTCCTCAAATGCTTCGGATTCTCTGATTCTAAATGTGCGTCCTACGGTTTATCTGTCATCACTCTATTAATGCCGTCATCTTCCTTGTGCCATTTTTAGTGCAGAAAGTATTCTTGGTTTTCGGAGGAAAGTCTCCATAGCAACTAAAATGTTTTTTCAGAAAGCCTGTAGTAAAGCCAGCTATGTAAGATTGTCAAGATCCCATATCCCATTAAGCCACTTTCAATCTGTTATGGTCATTGGGTTGTTGTAGGTTTTTTTGGGCTATATGGTCATGTTCTAGAGGCATTTTCTCCTGACGTTTCGCCTGCATCTATGGCAAGCATCCTCAGAGTTGTGAGGTCTGTTGGAACTAGGAAAATGGGTTTATATATCTGTGGAAAGACAAGGGTGGGACAAAGAACTCTTGTCTGCAGGAACTAGGTGTGAATGTTTCAAATGACCACCTTGATTAGCATTTGATGGCCTGGCAGTTCCTGGAGCAATCTTTTGTTGAGAGGTGATTAGATGTCCCTGAGAACACAGAAATGCTGGACCACTCTCACAACCACCATGTCAGACTACACAGAGAAGCCATTGAAATCCACAAGCATGTGGACAATTTCAACAGAAAGGAGGAAACCATGAAAATGAACAAAATCTGGCTACCAGTATTAAAAAACTCTAAAATTAAAACAGCAAAACAACAGACAAAGGACTCTTCACACCTAGCTCCAGCAGACAAGAGTCCTTTGTCCCACCCTGGTCTTTCCATAGATATATAAACCCATTTTCCTACTTCCAACAGACCTCACTACTTCTGAGGATGCTTGCCATAGATGCAGGCAAAACGTCAGGAGAGAATGCCTCTAGACAATGGCCATATAGCCCGAAAAAACCTACAACAACCTAGGTGTGAATGTTTCAACTGACCACCTTGATTAGCATTTGATGGACTGACAGTGCCTGGAGCAATCTTTTGTTGAGAGGTGATTAGATGCCCTTGTTTGTTTCCTCTCTGTTGTTGCGCTGTTGTCATTTAAAAGTTTTTAAATACTGATAGCCAGATTATGTTCATTTTCATGGTTTCCTCCTTTCTGTTGACATTGTCCACATGCTTGTGTGTTATGGTCATGTTTTCCTGTGAAGCTGTTGCCCTCTTTGACTATTTTGAATTACAGGGAGAGTTCGTACTGAATCGTTGAGTTAAAGTTGATTTGCATTAATTCTACAGTTCAGGGCCTGCTTTGCTTGTATGGTTTATGATGCTTGCATCTCATGAATATGGGTCTACCTAAAGCAGAGGAACATCCATTCCGAGTTTGGGTTTGAAGTGCGTACTTATCATATCAGAAGCCAACCAAGGGTGCAATTGTAATGTATTTATCTTTATTAATGACTTAGATGAAGAGCTAGAAGGCATGATCATCAGGTTTGCAGATGACACCAAATTGGGAGGGAGAGCCAATACTCCAGAGGACAGGAGCAGGATTCAAAACGATCTTGACAGATTAGAGAGATGGGCCAAAACTAACAAAATGAAGTTCAACAGTGACAAATGCAAGATACTCCACTTTGGCAGGAAAAATGAAATGCAAAGATACAGAATGGGGGACAATGCCTGGCTTAAGAGCAGTATACGTGGAAAAGATCTTGGAGTCCTCGTGGACAACAAGTTAAACATGAGCCAACAATGTGATGTGGCGGCAAAAAAAGCCCATGGGATTTTGGCCTGCATCAATAGTGTCTGGATCTAGGGAAGTCATGCTCCCCATGCTCTATTCCACCTTGGTTAGACCACACCTGGAATATTGTGTCCAATTCTGGGCACCACAATTCAAGAGAGATATTGACAAGCTGGAATGTGTCCAGAGGAGGGCGACTCAAATGATCAAGGGTCTGGAGAAAGAGCCCTATGAAGAGTGGCTTAAAGAGCTGGGCATGTTTAGCCTGAAGAAGAGAAGGCTGAGATATGATAGCCATGTATAAATATGTGAGAGGAAGCCACAGGGAGGAGGGAGCAAGCTTGTTTTCTGCTTCCCTGGAGACTAGGACGCAATGGAACAATGGCTTCAAACTACAAGAGAGGAGATTCCACCTGAACATGAGGAAGAACTTCCTGACTGTGAGAGCTGTTCAGCAGTGGAACTCTCTGCCCCGGAGTGTGGTGGAGGCTCCTTCTTTGGAAGCTTTTAAACAGAGGCTGGATGGCCATCTGTCAGGGGTGATTTGAATGCAATATTCCTGCTTCTTGGCAGGGGTTGGACTGGATGGCCCATGAGGTCTCTTCCAACTCTTTGATTCTATTCTATGATTGCTTCTGTATCAGGATGCTCCAAGTAACTTGGGAGCTTTTCTTGGCCGGAGCTGCATGGAAGGCTTAGGTGCCGATGTGATGTCCCTTAAGCCGTAAACAACGAAATCCGATTGAGCTCAGGGTGGAGGGGGAAATCCTTAAAGCAAGGTTCAAAAGGCAAATAATACGTGTGTGTGCCTCTGTGTGTGCATTTGTATGCCCAAACAAATCCCTTCTTAACAAAACGAGTTAATTCGCCTTCTTTCCCTTTCTTTTTTCTCCGACTCCAGGTGTGGCTTGCACGGTCATCCTCATGTACATCCTGTGCACAGACTGCTGGGTCATTGCGGCGGTCTATCTGGTGTGGCTGGTGTTTGATTGGAACACTCCCAAAAAGGGTAAGATGGGGCACAAAGACCCTGATTCACAACCTTGTGAGGATATCAGGTTATGCAGTGTTCCCTCGCTACTTCGCGGTTCGCTTTTCGCGGACTCGCTGTTTCGCGGGTTTTTGCCTCCCAGTTTATGAATGGTTGCCATTGTCCAGGATGGGGTTCCAATCCCACCTCCTGGCAACGATGGAGTGTGGAAGGGGGCTCATGAGAGAGGCAGCCCAATCAAGAGAGATTACAAAGCAAGCAGAGATAGCTAGCAAAAAAAAAAAATCTCCTCATTTCTGCCTCACTCTTGGAACTCGATATACGCGGGTTGAATGAAAAGTAATGCCTGCACTTTTGTAACACCTCAACAGATGGCAGTATTGGTATGCAGCAGGTACTGGCTTGTTCAGTAGACACTCCTCTACAGTTCCATTTTGACGGGAAGCCTTAGCATTGAACGGTTGTGTTGTTAAAGTGCAAAGTATGGAACCCTGCGCAGATGGTCGGTCAATGCGACTTAAGCAACATGTAGCCATTGAATTCTTGACAGCAGAAGGTGTCATCCCAAAGGAGATTCATCAGAGAATGCAAGCTGTTTATGGTTATTGTGTTGATGTGAGTATTCTGGCCCAGACAGTTCTGGCCCAGTTTACCTGTCCAAACGTATCTCCTGCTATGAACCATCTCGCAGCTTAAGATCGCCAGGAGAGGCCTGCTGGTACTGAAAGTAAGGAAAACGAGAAATAATAAAATATATGGGGACAGCTTATTAAAACTTGCTACAAAATAAATTTAGTTCTCACAACAGCATTATAAGATTCCAAGATAGCTCAAATATTTAATGTTGACTCTTTTGTTTACCAGTATTGTTATTCCCAATTATGCCACACAGAGATTATGTTTAGTTGTTGGCTTTCACTGCTACATATAGATAAAATGTATAACTAATAAAATTAATACTGTAGAAAGAAAGAAAAAGATCGCCAGGAGAGGCCCTGCTCTCAATCCCGTGACTCTCTCAAATGCGGTTGATGGGGACGAGAGACAGGGCCTTCTCAGCAATGGCCCCCCATCTGTGGAACTCCCTCCCTAAGGACATCAGGCTGGCCACCTCCCTCCTGTCCTTCAGGACACAACTGAAGACCTGGCTGTGGGACCAGGCGTTCGACTAGAGGTATTGACCAGAGGACAATGGCAGCTTGGAAAGGAAACTTGAACATTACAACATTATGACATTGGATTTGCTTGGCTGGATCTTGGTTTTAGTGGCATATTAGTTGACTGTTAAATTATTTTTTTGAGGATTTTTATAATGTTTTAATCAAGCTTTACTGTTTTTAATTGAATGTATATGTTGACAGCATCGCTTATGCTTATGTAAAGTTGCTTTGAGTCCCCTTGTGGGAGAAGGGTGGGGTAGAAATGAAGTATTGTGCATCGTTGGGTGAGTAAGTTTAAAGATGTTGAGGTGGGAACGTCTGACTTGCGTGACAAACAAAGAGTTGGACGTCCTGTGACAGCAACCACTGAGTTTCACAAACAAAAGGTTGACAGATTAATTCAGGAAGATCGTCTTATCACTCAGAGAGAAATTTCAAGCATAATCGGCATTTCACAAGAACGTGTGGGTCACATTATTGCTTTGCTTGGCTATCGGAAGATCTGTGAACGATGGGTACCCAGGATGCTGATGCTGGTTGTGGAAACAGAGTGTCGACTTCTTCTGTGATGGCTTCATGAAACGTGTTCATCGTTGGCAGAAATGTATCCAGTTGTCTGGTGATTATGTGGAAAAGGGAATAGTGGTAGTTAAAGAGCATATTCTAAGGATTATTTCTACATTTGATTTATTAAAATATTCCCATCCAAACCCAAGTAACGAAGGTGGAGACATTACTTTTCATTTGACCCTCGTGTGTCTATAAATATAGCGTCCCTACTTCATGGATTTTCCCTTTTCGCGGGTGGTCCTGGGACCTCTTGGGGGTGTCTTTGAACCTTGTTTCTGATTCCTCTTGAGGTTACACTGCAACATTTTTCTGAACTTGTCATTAGTAATATCTGTCTGTCCTTACCTGGTATCTACTTAAAACCTGTGCTGTGGGAAGCAATGACCTAAATACTATGGTAATCTGTGCTAGAGTGAACCCATTGAATGGATAGATGAATGAATGATGAGACAACACTTACATAAATTCCACTGATTTAATGAGTTTGCTCTAGTTGGAACCATACGTTAAGGCCAGTGAATTCCTTAATGGTGTCAAGCAGACTTCACACTCTGTTTGGCACTTGGAAGATATTTTGGAGCGTAGGTGTCTCTACACTATAGAACTAATGCAGTTTGACACCACTTTAAATACCAAGGCTGGGTAATATGGAATCCTGGGTGTTGTAGGTTTGCAAGGATTTTCACTTTTTCTGTCGAAGGATGCTGGTACCTCACCAAACTATAACTCCCAGCATTCTTTAGCTTTGAGATTTGGTAGTGCAAGTGGTATCAAAATGCATTAATTTTGCAGCATAGATGCATCCTTTTGATACCCATCAGCATTTGGCACCTTCTAATCACCCCTCAACAAAAGTTTGCTCTAGGCACTGTCCGGCCATTATATGCTAATCAAGGTGGTCAGTTGAAACATTCACACCTAGCTCCAGCAGACAAGAGTCCTTTGTCCCACCCTGGTCATTCCACAGATATATAAACCCTTTTTCCTAGTTCCAACAGACGTCACTACCTCTGAGGATGCTTGCCATAGATGCAGGCGAAACATCAGGAGAGAATGCCTCTAGACCATGGCCATATAGCCCAAAAAAACCTACAACAACCCAATTGGCACCATGTTCCACGATTGGGATTTATGGAATCATAGAGATGGAAGAGAGCCCAAGGACCATCCAGTCCTACCCTCTTCTGCCAGGCAGGAAAAACAATTGGTGGTGCAATGGGTTAAACCCTTGTGCCAGCTGGACTGCTGACCTGAAGGTTGGTAGTTCGAATCCATAAGACAGGGTGGGCTCCCATCTGTCAGCTCCAGCTTCTCGTGCAGGGACATGAGGGAAGCCTCCCGCAGGATGGTAAAAACATCCCACTGGAGACGTGGTGGCACAACGCATCAAACCTTGTGCCAGCTGGATTGTTGAACTGAAGGTTGGTGGTTTGAATCCGTAAGACAGGGTGAGCTCCCATCTGTCAGCTTCTCATGCAGGAACATGAGAGAAGCCTATCACAGGATGGTAAAAACATCCTCTGGATAATGTCTCTGCAGATGGCCAATTTTCTCACACCAGAAGCAACTTGCAGTTTCTCAAACTGCTTCTGACACGAAAAAAGCCCTCCTTACAGATGGCCATCTGGCCTCTGCTTTAAAAACCTCCAGAGAATGAAAAGCAGCATATTCATTGTTGAACCGCTCTTACCATCAGTGATGTTTATGTAGTTGTAATCTAAACAAACAGGGATCAGATATAGCTGCATGTGGCTCCCAAGGCTATTTTCGATGTCCTTTTCCAGCTTCTTTGAATGGGTGAATTGCCTCCTGTGGAAGCCTTGGTGTACTAGCGTATTCTGTACTTCTCTTTTGGGGATTCCCTTCCCTTTTTCTGACATGCTCTTGTTTCCCTGACAGGAGGAAGAAGATCTCAGTGGGTCAGAAACTGGGCCGTGTGGCGATACTTCCGGGATTACTTCCCAGTCCGAGTGAGTATGGCAATGTATTCTTCAACTGCAGCATATTCCCTAAAATGACTTTGTCTGAATATGTTGGATTGAGCCAAAAGGATGGTTCCCAAAGGTCCTCTTTCTCCATTTTGGGGAGAAGTTGTTAGGGAAAGTAAAGGGAAAGGTCTTCCCCTGACATTAAGTCAAGTCGTGTCCGACTCTGGGAGTTGGTGCTCATCTCCATTTCTAAGCCAACGAGCCGGCGTTGTCCATAGACACCTCGTAAGTCATGTGGCCGGCATGACTGCAAGGAGCACCGTTACCTTCCCACCCTAGTGGTACCTATTGATCTACTCACATTTGCATGTTTTCGAACTGCTAGGTTGGCAGAAGCTGGGGCTAACAGCGGGAGTTCACACCGCTCTCCAGATTCGAACCTGCGACCTTTCGATCAGCAAGTTCAGCACCTCAGTGATTTAACCCAATGTACCACAGTGTAGATGCATCTTTAGTCTGACACTAGCTCTCAGAAACAAGTGTATATCATCTCCAAGTATACCGGAACGGTACCTGTTGATCTATTCACATTCTGCTAGGTTGGCAGAAGCTGGGGCTGACAGCGGGAGCTCACCCCGCTCCCCGGATACCAACCTGTGACCTTTTGTTCAGCAAGTTTAGTGGCTCAGTCATTTAACCCTCTGCGCCACTGGGAAACTACCCTAAATATAGCAGAGCATCCAAAAACAGACAGGACATCAATGTTGAGCATGAACGCTTGTTACCACAACCACGATTTAAGGTTCTTGCAAAAGGTCAGGAGGGGAGGGGCAAATGTAACCTCCTTAGGGAGTTCCACAGCCGGGGGGTCACCACGGAGAAGGCCCTGTCTCTTGTCCTCACCAAACGCGACTGCGATGGTGGTGGGGCCAAAAGCAGGGCCTCCCCAGATGATCTTAATGCCCTTGATGGTTCATAGAGGGAGACAAGTTTGGACAGGTAAGCTGTATTGACCACTTTTCTGCTTTTGAACCTGTCTGTGAGGTTGGTTGCCCTGTGGATGAACTAGAACTCCTTATCAAAGGGCGTCCTTTGCCTGAAGCGTGTTGACTTGCAGTTTCTTCCCCGCACTTTTGCCTGCAGCTGGTTTGTTTTGGTGCAGGTTGGCACCGATCTCCCTGCTTTTATAGCCCAGTTACCAAAGGTACTGATCTCATCCCAGACATCCTTGGTGATGACAACATCATTTGGATCTAAAGGTCTCTGATTATACATTCTATTTGTGTGGAACTTGTTTCTAGGTTTGCTTGGCTTGAAAATAAACAGTTTCATCAGTACCTCTAAGGATTTATTATGGGCAGCTATTGGCTAATTGCTATCTCATCAGTTTTGAATTATGGCAACTCTATGAATAAGGAACCTTCAAGACAAGCTGTTAATAGTCTGCTTAGGTCTTGCAAACATTAAATAATTGATTTCTTTTGGATTTGTCTATCCAACAGCAAAGCAATCTTCCTTCCTTTTTTCTACCTTCCATTAGGGTGCAATCCCCAGTATCCACAGGATTGGTACCTGCAGTTTCATTTATCCACGCCCAACAAAATATGTCCTCTTTAGGCATTTTCTATGTCCTCCCAGATGGCTCTATGGTATTCACGGTCCAAGTGTCCTTTATTTCAATAGGGCTTCACTATTCTTAGTTTTCAGATTCCATCTGAACATGAGGAAGAACTTCCTGATGTGTGAGAGCCGTTCAGGAGTGGAACTCTCTGCCCCGGAGTGTGGTGGAGGCTCCTTCTTTGGAAGCTTTTAAACAGAGGCTGGATGGCCATCTGTCAGGGGTGATTTGAATGCAATATTCCTGCTTCTTGGCAGAATGGGGTTGGACTGGATGGCGCATGAGGTCTCTTTCAACTCTTTGATTCTATGATTCTATGTTCAGCAGTGGAACTCTCTGCCCCGGAGTGTGGTGGAAGCTCCTTCTTTGGAGGCTTTGAAACAGAGGCTGGATGGCCATCTGTCAGGGGTGATTTGAATGCAATATTCCTGCTTCTTGGCAGAATGGGGTTGGACTGGATGGCCCATGAGGTCTCTTCCAACTCTTTGATTCTATGATTCTATGTTCAGATGGAACTCTCTGCCCCGGAGTGTGGTGGAGGCTCCTTCTTTGGAGGCTTTGAAACAGAGGCTGGATGGCCATCTGTCAGGGGTGCTTTGAATGCAATGTTCCTGCTTCTTGGCAGAATGCGGTTGGACTGGATGGCCCATGAGGTCTCTTTCAACTCTTTGATTCTATGTTCAGCAGTGGAACTCACTGCCCCGGAGTGTGGTGGAGGCTCCTTCTTTGGAGGCTTTGAAACAGAGGCTGGATGGCCATCTGTCAGGGGTGATTTGAATGCAATATTCCTGCTTCTTGGCAGAATGGGGTTGGACTGGATGGCCCATGAGGTCTCTATCAACTCTTTGATTCTATGATTCTATGTATCCATCCGAAGACGGGGAACATATTCCCCATGGATATGGGGGCCATACTGTGTTGTCGTTCTGGTAAGTCATGTCATCTCACGACCTATCCAAAGTATGGCAGTTTCCGTCTAGTCCAGTGGTTCTCAGCCTGGAGTCCCCAGATGTTTTTGGCCTTCAACTCCCAGAAATCCTAACAGCTGGTAAACTGGCTGGGATTTCTGGGACTTGTAGCCCAAAAACATCTTGGGACCCCAGGTTGAGAACCACTGGTCTAGTCATTTAGCTTCTTACTGTAGGTTAAGCCTTTATCCGGAATGCTTTGCAGATATGAAAAAAGCATGGATAACCCTGGGTGTTTCTTCATGCTTGTTTTTGTCATTTCAAGGTTTGGATTTTGGCTCATGGCTCCTGACCTTGTACACTATAGTCCTCCCTTTTAAGCAGGGCAAGTGGATCCTCATCTCTCAGGTGGATGTGACCTCTACTAGGTCTTTCTATACAACACTGTCATGTGGCAGCAAAAAAAGCCAATGGGATTTTGGCCTGCATCAATAGGAGCATAGCGTCTAGATCCAGGGAAGTAATGCTACCCATGCTCTATTCCGCTTTGGTTAGACCACACCTGGAATATTGTGTCCAATTCTGGGCACCACAATTCAAGAGAGATATTGACAAGCTGGAATGTGTCCAGAGAGGAGGGCGACTCAAATGATCAAGGGTCTGGAGAACAAGCTCTATGAGGAGCGGCTTAAGGAGCTGAGCATGTTTAGCCTGAAGAAGAGAAGGCTGAGAGGAGATATGATAGCCATGTATAAATATGTGAGAGGAAGCCACACGGAGGAGGGAGCAAGCTTGTTTCTGCTTCCCTGGAGATTAGGATGCAATGGAACAATGGCTTCAAACTACAAGAAAGGAGATGCCATCTGAACATGAGGAAGAACTTCCTGACTGTGAGAGCCGTTCAGCAGTGGAACTCTCTGCCCCGGAGTGTGGTGGAGGCTCCTTCTTTGGGAGCTTTTAAACAGAGGCTGGATGGCCATCTGTCAGGGGTGATTTGAATGCAATATTCCTGCTTCTTGGCAGAATGGGGTTGGACTGGATGGCCCATGAGGTCTCTTCCAACTCTTTGATTTTATGATTCTATATCTTTTCCTTGGAATCGTGATTATAGGGAAGTGTTTGTTACTGACTTCTCTTTCTAACACTGAGAGCTCAAATAGTCAAATTGTATGCAGAAACTGGAAAAACACCCGTGTTCCTTATTTGTACTCTAACAAGAGCTGGATGTCCTGTGAAACCAACCACATTGTTGGAACAATGGTTGCTGTTTCAGCATTTGTGATAAATGGCTTAGATAATCTATCTCAAAGGAGGAGGAGATGGGAGGCGGTCATCGGGTTAGATATTATTTTTTTTCCCCAGTGCCAACTTCTTGCATAACGGAGCCCAATATAACCTTTTGGCTCAAATTGGGAAGAGCTTCAAGGTTGAGCCTGGTCCAAGGTCTTCAACTGTTAGGACAGAGACGGGAAGGACGTGATTCTCCCAATGTTTTTGAAATGTAGTTTCCAGAATCCCTCTCCGTTCCTGATGCTGGCAATGGAAGCTGGGATTCAGAAAGCTTTTACTGGCCTTCTATCTAATATCCCAAAATGTATGGGTAGATTGGGTCCTATCTACTTCTGCACATTCTGTATATCCATGGAGACATGTGTCCCTAACCCCAGTGAATGTGGAGGGCTTTTATTTATCGTGCCAGGGCAACCAGTCGACTATATTACATTTCTAACAGAACAAAGCAAACAACAGACAAAATACAAAATTTGTGAGTTTGGTAGTTGATTAAATGTCCTTTGACCAGTATCTGGCCCCTTGGAGTGCCTCTGGTGTTGCCGCAAGAAGGTCCTCCCTTGTGCATGTGGCAGGGCTCAGGCTGCATTGCAGCAGGTGGTCTCTGCTTTGCTCTTCTCCACACTCGCATGTCGTGGATTCCACTTTGTGGCCCCATTTCTTGAGGTTGGCTCTGCATCTCGTGGTGCCAGAGCACAGTCTGTTCAGCGCCTTCCAAGTCGCCCAGTCCTCTGTGTGCCCAGGCGGAGTCTCTCATTTGGTATCAGCCATTGGTTGAAGTGCTGGGTTTGAGCCTGCCACTTTCGGACTCTTGCTTGCTGAGGTGTTCCAGCGAGTGTCTCTGTAGATCTTAGAAAACTATTTCTAGATTTAAGTCGTTGACGTGGTGGCTGATACCCAAACAGGGGATGAGCTGGAGATGTCAGTGCTGTGGTCCTTTCACCATTGGTTGCTACTTCCCGGCGGATGTCAGGTGGTGCAATACCGGCTAAGCAGTGTAATTTCTCCAGTGGTGTAGGGCGCAGACACCCCGTGATAATGCGGCATGTCTCATTAAGAGCCACCTCCACTGTTTTAGCGTGGTGAGATGTGTTCCACACTGGGCATGCATACTCAGCAGCAGAATAGCATGGCGCAAGGGCAGATGTCTTCACTGTATCTGGTTGTGATCCCCAGGTTGTGCCAGTCAGCTTTCGTATGATATTGTTTCTAGCATCCACTTTTTC